TTGGGGATTGAACTCAGGACCATGTGCTTTCCAGGCAGGCGCTTATGCAGCTCAGCTATCTCCCCGGCCACTATTGTTGGGTTTTCTATTTTGAACCATTCTGCTAATCCGTGTCCTTTGATTGGGGAATTGAGACCAGTCACGTTGAGAGTTATTACTGAAAGATACTCACTTATTCCTGTGAGGACATTATTTTCCTGTTGCAGATGTCCCTTTTGCTTTCTTCTGTGTAACTGCCCACCCTGCAGTTCCTCTCTGGCTGTCACTGGTAGTGTGAAGGAGCCCCCTGGAGCACAGCCCTCGGCTGACTCGGTGTTCACAGCAGCTGCGCTCTCTGCCCCTGCTTGTCCCTGCGTCTCGGCCTGGGCACTTACCTTGCTTCTGGAGAGCCACATTCCCTCCCAGCAAGCTGCGAGGAAGGGAGAGAGTCGCAGTGTTCCTTTTTCCCCTCTCTCTGCATTATGGACCGTTCTCCAGCTTTTCTGTAGCTTCTAATTTTTGCCAGTTCCTTCCTGATTGCAGCAACGTACTTGTCTTTCTTCACCGAGTTGTCATGGTGTGCCTGGATCTTGCAGAGGTGTAATTTTGCTGCTGATTACCGCTCTGCCATTTTCCTCTTCTCTGCTTTTTAATTTTACTAAATGTAATTGTTTTTATCTTGAACATTTTAAAGTCTAAGTAAGATATTTCCTTGTGTGGAAACTATATAGGCTGTTTTAATTTTCTCTTATTTCTGTTTATGTACGTGCCATCTTTTTGTTTTGGTCTTATTTTCACTATTTTCTTTTTTGGTACCGGGAATCGAACTCGGGGCTTCACGCTTGCTAGGCAGGCGCTGTGCCACCGAGCCACATCCCCGGCCCTCTTGTTTGTTTTGGTTGTGAAATATTTTCCATCAGAAATTGTAGGAACACCTGACAGTTTAGGGTATAAATTATGCCCAAAAGATGCAGTTCACCTTTGGCATGTATTTAGGGTAGAAGCAGTGCAGGGTTAGCTTAATTTCAGATACCAAAAGGGAGCATGGTTCCTATTCAGGCGTAGCCCTGCAGGTCTCCCTACAAGGAATGAGAGGTCTCCAGTTCCGCCACCACGTATCCGTGACTGGAGTATCATTTTTGTCTAACTCTACAAGCTATAAAGCACTGTTCTTCTTCTTGGCCTCTAGCTACATCTTCCCAAATCAGCAGATGCTTTAGGGGAGAAGTCAAAAATATTTGGACCCACTTTCTGGATTTTCTTTCTCCTCTAGTTCTTTTTTTTTTTTTTTTGCGGAACCAGGGATTGAACTCAGGCCCTTGCGCTTGCCAGGGAAGCGCTTATTCCACTGAGCTATCCCCCCCAGCCCCAAAAAGGCAGAAGGATATTTTTTTTGACTCCGAAGGCCTTCAGGGCAGGTTTGGCCGGCTTAAGTTGTGAGGATCGAACCACAGCAACCTGAGCTTGACTGCTTTGTTGAAGCAGCCACTTAAAGAACTGAGCTAAGGGGCAGGCCCCCCAAAAGTTACTAGGGAATCTTTTTTTTTTGGCAGAACCAGGGATTGAACTCAGTCCCTTGCGCTTGCCAGAAAAGCACTTATTCTACTGAGCCATCTCCCCCGCCCCTCTTCTCTAGTTTTTGACTCTTAAATTCTTACGGTTTTATGAAAATCAACAGTGTCTTCCAAAGATGTCAAAATACTTTATTTAGCTTTTGTAGTTGTTCTTAGTAGAAGGGTTGGTTCATTTATTTACAATACCTAGTCTACCATTACTAAAATTAAAGGTCACTCCTATTTTTTCTCCTAACTTTATATTTCTATTCACAGATCGAGGCAACGACAACTGGCTGATTAAATATGACTGTCCAATGGATAGTTCTAGCTCTCGGGTAAGAGATTTCTGTTTCAAATTACACAGGAAAGAAAATACTTACAATATGGAAGCACACAAGCCAAGCATGTGCCTAGAATCCCAGCACCATAAGGCTTAGGCAGGAGGGTTTATGGTTGAGCCCATCATAGGCAATTTGGTGACTTCATGAGTCTCTATCTCAGAAAATAAAAAGGTTTGGGGACATAAAAGCCCCTGGGTTCAATTCCCAGTACCGGCAACAACAACCCACAAAACAAAAACCGAAGAAGAAAGAGCCAGCCACATATGTCAGTGGTCATGTAAGTTTAAATTTAGGTCATGTAAGTTCAGAAGAATTAGGGAAGCACAGTGCTCAAAATTAATAGCTTAATGTTTGGTATAGTTTTCCTCAGTGCATGGTAAAAAACATCCTGGTGACTGAAGTTAATAGGAATAGCCTGAGGAAAGGGTCAAGTCGGCTTGGAACATTTTTTGTTCTCTAGTCCTTGAGCTTCCCATTGCACAACAGCATAGTAAAAGTCTGAGAAATACTGCATGAGACAGACCTGTCTGGTTTCGTTTGGCCTAGTGATTTTAGCTATGGGATACTTTTTTCACAACAGACCACAATTTCACAGAATGTGAATTTAGAGAAAGCCTCTCCTGCAGCTTTCTTGATGTTTCTCTCATCTTCTACCACTTTTCTCTGTTGCTGCTCCATCTGCATGTCTTTTAAAAGTAGCAGGAAGGCTACCTGAAGAAGAATGCAATTGAATTTTATTTATTTATTTATTTTTGCGGAACCGGGGATTGAACTCAGGCCCTTGCACTTGCCACGGAAGCCCTTATTCTACTGAGCCATCTCCCCGACACCCTTTGGATTTTATTTTTATTTTGTGGTGCTGCACTTTGTGCATGCTGGGCTTTGCCACCACCAGTGGGCTGTACCACTAGCCCTGGTGTTGAGTACTTGGGTTTTGCTCCTGTCTCTAATACTGGCTGGTAGCGTTTGTGCTCCTCATTGGAAGGATGTGCTCAGTGGTAGCAGGCTTACCTAGCACACCCAGGGCTCTGATCAGTCTTGAGCACCACCTACATATGTGCATTCTTTAGGCCTTGCCATGGAAATTGAGTCGTCACTCAGGGCTCCTCTCCTCTCCTCTCCTGTGCTCTTTTCTCTTTTCTTTCTTGACACACGGTCTTGCTCTGTAGTCCAGGCTGGCCTTGAACTCACTGTAGAATCCAGGCTGGCCTTGAATTTGTGGCAGTGATCTTGCCTCAGCCTTCTGAGTCCAGGGAATATAAACGTGTGTGTGCCTCCGTGCCTTGCTTTATTTTATCTTAATGAACGAATGAATGAATGAATGAATGAATTTTTTTGGAGATAGGATTTTGCCATGTAGTTAAGCCTCACCTTGTAATCCAGGCTGGCTTCAAACTCATGGGGATCCTCCTGCCTCAGCATTCTTGAGCGCTGGGATTATAGGTATGTACCACCATGTTAGCCAGGATCCCACACTTTTTTATAACGAGTCCTGGGAACACAATTCCTGTTCTAGAATGCCACCAGTGAATCCGAAGTGTAGAGCCGTGTAGCCTCTGTGGGTGGACGTCCCTGGCGTGGGCCATCACAGGTGGCCTGCCCGGTCTCTCTGTTCAGCTCCTGTCTTTTTCCTCTTTATGAATCAGTGCAGCAGGAAGACTCCCTTGTGCAAGCATGGGCAGCCGCTACCTTTTGTGGTTGTGTTTTCTCCTGGGAAATGTGCTCGTCACCAGTGAAATAATGTCTGAGACAAGGTTCACACAAAGGGTCTTGGCCAGCTAGTACAGAGTTTTCTTTCTTTCTGCTTCTAGGGCTCTCATTGCCTTTTGTAGGAGGAATGGCATACAGCTGTCTTTGTCATTATCCTCACCAATGACTAACTCTAGGGTAGTGCTCCTTTTTTACAAATAAGAAGGAGACCCTGAGAACCTTGAATAGGCTCGGCTAGAGGTGCCATAGTGTGCCAGGTGCTGATAACACAGAAACCAGGCCAGGGTAGCTCCCACTAAGCTGCAAAAGGATAGGCACCTGAGAGGGAGGAGATGTGTGGCTTTGCTCAGGCCGCTGGGCTCCCGCAGTAATCAGCCTCTCCTTGCTGTGCAGGACACAGACTGGGTGGTGGTGAAGGAGCCTGTCATCAAGGTGGCGGCCATAGACAATGGGCTGGCGTTCCCACTGAAGCACCCTGACTCCTGGAGGGCCTGTGAGTTTCAAGACTGCTGGTCTGGTTCTGCTCTTGCTGTCTGTCTTGTCGTTGAAATGGCGATGATGATATGAAGTAGCTCAACTCACACTCCTAACACAGCTGGCAAGCACTGGCAGATATTCCATAATGTAAACTTTTAATTTTTTCCTTGTATTATTCCCACTAGAGGCATATAGAGTGATTAGAAATTAGAGACATAGGAAGGTGGAGGGTATAGCTCAGGGCTAGCATGCACAAGGTTCCAACCCCAAAGTGAACGCCGAAGGGTCCCTGGCGTGGGCCGTCACAGGTGGCCTGCCCGGTCTCTGTTCAGCTCCTGTCTTTTTCCTCTTTATGAATCAGTGCAGCAGGAAGACTCCCTTGTGCAAGCATGGGCAGCCGCTACCTTTTGTGGTTGTGTTTTCTCCTGGGAAATGTGCTCGTCACCAGAAGCTGGGCGTGGTGGTACACACCTGTAACCCCAGAACTCCTGAGGCTGAGGCAGGAGGATTGCTACAAGTTTGAGATTAGCCTGGGCTACATAGTGAGTTCAAGGCCAGTCTGAACTACACAGTGAGACCCAGTCTCAGAAAACCAAGAAGGAAAAAAATGCATGTGGATGAATTTTATTATCTCGACCTTTTATTCTTGTTTTGAAATCTGTCTTCATGATTGCTTATATTCGAGTCTCTACAGATAAGCTGCTATCAGTACTGTCTTCCTTGTTGATAGCCCCTGCCCCATTATAACTGAGCAACTTTTGGAAAGGGGGAGAAATGTAAGTAGTGAGTCACTAGCCGCCTTTGCAGCACCAGTCTTCATCTTGAGAAGGATCACCTCAGTGTCTCGGTGGCAAGTAGTTGCCTCAGGGTAAGCTTGTGTCTTGGAAGGTCACGTAGCATCTAGGAAAGAGGTGCAAGATTAGGTTAACGTGGGCTTGAGTGCTGGTGCTTGTACTGACCAGATATGTGACTTTCATGGTCAACAACACTTGGTAGTATTCTGTGTCAGTGAGGAAGATTCTCCCTCTGAAACTGCCCTGGTAGGTAGAAGACACAAATGAGGAAGGACTTTTCCAACTCGTTTGTTTTTGACCTTTCCTCTTTTCAGATCCTTTCTACTGGGCCTGGTTGCCCCAGGCTAAAGTTCCGTTCTCCCAGGAGATCAAAGATCTGATTCTTCCAAAGATATCGGACCCTAACTTCGTGAAGGACTTGGAGGAGGACCTGTATGAGCTATTTAAGGTTAGCCCTGGGGACCTCTAACTGATTACTGTATGGAAGAAGCCATCCCTAACCTTCCCCCAATGTTGGGGATTGAACCCAGGGCCTTTGCACTAAACTACACACATACTTACCCTTTTTTGTTTGTTTGTTTGTTTGTTTGTTTATGTTGGGGCAGGGTCTCACTAAATAAGTTGCGCAGGTTGGGTCTGAACTTGTACTCATCCTCTGTCAAACTCCCAGAATGCCAGGATCACAAGTCGACACCCCACACCTGGCTCCTGGTGGCTATAGTTGGTCCTGACACAAGCCAGGAGGGAATGGCTGATACCTGTCTGACTTGGGCTACCAGTAGAGCAAGGTTCTGACACGTGGACAGCAGCACTCAGTTTGGATGATCATCCTGAGAGTGTGTCACACGGCAGTAGAATGTCTGCAGGGCTCTGAGTCCGAGCTGCAAAACAAAATACTGTCTTGTTCTATTTCCGTGTCTGTAAAGGTGGGCTTTCCTACGTGCTAGTTGATTTCACCAAGCCCCATAAGCTCTATATAGGTTTTCTTTATTCTAAGATTTCTAACTGGAGGAGAAAATAGGTTTCTGTGAGGTATTGCGCAGGTCTGATCACTTGCCCTTCTCTTGCAGAAAGATCCTGGTTTTGACAGGGGCCAGTTCCATAAGCAGATTGCTGTCATGCGGGGACAGGTAAGCCTGGGACATCGTCCAGGTTTTTTGGGGTGATCTCCCTGGGCTGCTCTTGTTGCCAGTGTGTAAAGCTCAAGTTTTACACCTTTTCAGTGTATGTCATTCGTGATTTGCCTCTACCCTAACACACGCGAGAGGAAAGGTAGCTCTTCTCAATCCCCCACCTCTTCCATGGGATCCAGTTCCTGGGTAGACACTTGAGGTGTGCTTGCTCTGGGCCATGCTGGGCAATTGTAGGTGAATACTCTGTCCTTGAATTGCTCCAGGCAGGACGTACAAGTTGATTAATAACTGGGCTCTGGTGTCAGACCGCTTTACTACTTAGAAACTCTGTGATCTTGGGCAAAAGCCTCTGTTTTTGGTATATGAAATAAGTAATGATGTTGCCACATCCAGTTCAGTTAGTTGCCGTACAATGGCTTGAATTGAGAGGTGGAATGATGGAGAAAGACAGAATTTTACTAAAAACCAGCTGGCACGTTAGAAGATGGTAGGCTCTTGCCTTTTAATGACTATCTCTCATCTTGCTCTGAAGGAGAATTGCATGATTTTAAAGGAAAAGTACGTGTGTCCAGGATAGGTGGGTGCCTCGGTTGTCCAGTGCTTCAGAAAGCAGCCTCTGCTGGAGTGTGGGCCGTGCACACAGGTCAGCAAGTGTTGCAGCCTAGTAGGTCTAAAGAAAACATAAATGATCGGGCTGGAGAGATGGCTCAGTGGTCTAAAGCACCTACTTAGAACAAGCTTAGCAAAGCATCAGGGACCGCGGTTCAATCCCCCAGCACCACATGCCAGCCAGCCCCGCCCCCTGGTGGGCTGTGCTGGCCACACACACACACCACACACTCTCTCTCTCTCTCTCTCTCAAATAAAAAAAAAACCATAAATGATCAAGGTTTCTGTGTTGATTGAAGTGATTTATGTCTTTCTTTATTTTGGTCTGTGTGTCTGATAATCACCCTTTCTAGATATAACTTTCCCCATCGCTTGGTACTGGGCAGTGCTTTGGAAGGAAGAGTTTGTGCATTCCCAGGTAACTTTAGTGTGTAGTTAATCTGTAACTGACAGGCTTTAGTGGGCAACTAATATTTGTGAGGCATAGTTAGAAGCAAAGAAGAGAATTGAATCTCAGAGGGGAGGGACTCTCACTAATACTCTGCACAGTTGGTGTGGAGGGAGGATGTGAGATACTGTATGTTTAGTGTTAAGTAAAAGTAATGGGGGCCGGGGAGATGGCTCAGCAGAATAAGTGCTTCCCTGGCAAGCGCAAGGGCCTGAGTTCAAACCTTGGTTCCACCAAAAGAGAGGAAAAAATAAATAAATAAAAACAGTGCCTCCCACATGGTAAATACTCAGACATAGACTGTGGTTCTAATTTTGAGTTATAAATTATATTTTTCTTTCTCTATCTCATCTTCAAAGGGAGCCACAGAACCCAGGATGTTTTTCTGTCTTCCAACGGATAGTAAAGAATGTGCTTGGAGAGTGTTTCAAAAATGTAATGCACTGGCCTCATGTTTATCATACTGAAGTCTTCCTGAAGAGGGCTTCATGGCTTAGCAAGTCAGGGCTCAGACTTGCCGGAGTCCCTGAATTTGAAGCCTGGCTCTGCCGTTTACTTCTATAAAGTTTTGGGTAAATTACTTAATCTCTGTCTCCATTTGTGTCGTAGTATTAGTAACAGTACCTGCTCCATAGGGTTATTATGAGGTAAATTATTCAAAACGGTATAGTACCTATTATATCAAAGTACTGAATCAAGTACTTAAGCAGTTATTAAGATACTGCTTTCACATGCAGAAAAGTCAACTCACATCTTTAAAAAGTCAGTCTTCCTAGCCACAGACGCATGCTTGCTTCTTCCTACCTTTAGCTAAAGGCTGCTGGTGAGAGCATCTCAGGCTCGCAGTGCTCATTTTCCCTGGAAAGGGGCTAGTTAGAGGGGTTTGTTCTGGTTTCAGGTGACATCTCTCTATGAGATTCAGGCTGGCCTTGAACTCACTGAGCAGCCTACGCTGCCCTTGAAATCATGACAGTCCTCCTGCCTCAGAGTTCCAAGGGCTGGGCTTGAAGGAGTGTGTCCCACAACTGGCATTCAGAGGTGTTAAGAGCTGCTATAATTACAGCTGCCCAAATACCAGTAACGTGGTCTTCCTGTCTTTCCCAAGTAAAGTATGGACCCAATTAGGTTGGCAGAACTTTTGAAAACCATACAAGGCGCATGACATTGTCTGCTATTAGAGAATTCAGTATAGAAGAATAAGCTTGCACCCAGCTTTACTGTACTATAATACTGAACCATCTTTTCCTATCTCAACTCCGTCCCTTGCCAGCATCTGTTATACCCTCTTAGGGATGAAATCCAGGGTGGAAAATTGTGCAGGGGGTTTAGAGTACTGAAATTTTGTCTTTCTCTTTCTGTCTTCAGAGGGGCTTCTGGCATCTTTGTCAGGCAAAGGTGCATCTGAACATAACATAAGCAAAGGAAACACTTGAAAATTGTTTTAGAACAAAGGGTCATTTTTTGGGGTATAACAGGGGACCAGGCAAATATGTGAATGCTGAGTTGTACACAGGGAAGAAAGGGACGCTTACGGAACCATAATATCAGAATGCGGCACTCTAGGTATATGGAACTTGCTTAACACTAAACAAGTTCCAGGCAAAGATGCATCAGCTCATAACATAGCAAAGGAAACACGTGGAATTGCAATTTGAGGCACAGCCAGGGGCGGCCCTAAAGCGTTCTGGCAAGAGATAAGGGAGGGAAAAATTTTTAAGGAATCAAGCCAAAAGATAATCTGATGTTGCATCATTTTTGGGAGGCATCATCTGTTTTAAAACCTATTTGGTTGGTTGGTTGGGACTTGGTAGGTGGCTTCTTGGAGAATCAGGGAGTTTGCTTAGTCACGCGCACTTAGCCTGTTAACCTTTCAAAATGATGGGCTGGGTGTGTAGCTCAGTGGTAAAGTTAATGCTGAGCGTGCACAAGGTTCTGGGTTCAGTCCTTACCACTACATTTAAAAAAAAAAAAAAAAAATGACAGACACAGTGTGGAACTTGCTTAGTTTTAAGCAAGTTCCATATACCTAGAGTGCTGCTTCCTGATACTAGGTTCCGTAAACATCCCTTTCTTCCCTGTGTACAACTCAGCATTCACATATTTGCCTGGTCTTGTTATACCCCAAAGAAAAATGACCCTGTGTTCTAAAAAAAACCAGACTGACCTAAAACAGGAAGGGGAAAAAAAAAAAAAGTCGTGCTCCTATCAGCTTAGCTGATCCAATAGCCTGCCTTTGCAACTTTTCTATAAAATTACTAAGTTGAAGCTAGGTATAGTGATGCACACCTGTAATCCCAGCATTCTGGGAGGATGACACAGGAGAATTTCAAGTTTGAGCCCAGCCTGGACAGCTTTAGTGATTTAGGACTTTTTAAAAAATTCTTCTCTTCTCTTCTCTTCTCTTCTCTTCTCTTCTCTTCTCTTCTCTTCTCTTCTCTTCTCTTCTCTTCTCTTCTCTTCTCTT